TTTAAAAGTGATTGGAACTGACAGTCCTTTTGCTAACAAAAACCTACTAAGAATGGAAAGCAACGTCACGGTGATTGCATTCAGCCGACCGACGGCCAGTCCGGCGCAAAACCAGTCAAAGCTGTTGTCAGCGTAAATTAAAACTTTTGATTTTTCAGTGACGCCCATTGCTTGCAGTCCTCGAGCCAAGGCGTCCACCCGCTCCAGCACCTGTTCCACGTTCCACCACTGGTAGTCATCCGCCAGTTTGATCTTCTTTAGCTCCTTTCCGTCGATCTTGATCGGCTGTCCGCGTTCGTCGAGTTGCGGCTCCTCGCTGAGCACCTCACGATAGCCGACTGCCCGTCGCTTTGGATCCAGGTGCGGAATGACCTCATTCAGCGTCTGGTAGGTCATCAGCGGGTGGTACACTTTAACGGGACAGGGACGTGAGTAGACGGTTCGACCCTGGCGGTCCTTGATTGCTTGAACTCCAAATGATTTGGAGAGTCGAAGCTTCTTCCATGGTTGTTGGTATATTGTATAAAAGGGAAGTGTTGTAAATGTCCATGCGTTTACTACTGCTTTGGTGTTCAGCATAAATAGGTTCACGAGGAATTTGGACATCTTTGGAATTGAGATTGAGTCAGATGAAATAAAGTGTTGATGCAGGTGCTCAACTTTCAGTCAGTCAGTTTGCTGTCAGTGAGTGTGAGCACTTCATGCTAGGCTGGAGCGGGAAAATGGCAGTGATGGCCGCTCTGTTGAAGCTTGGAGTTGCCTGTGTTGTCGTCTCTGCCGTCTCTAAACACATGTACTCGACTGACTACAACAGCCTCAAATTGGTGTTGGAAGTCGATGGCAGTTTGACGTGAACGGCAGTTGACGTAACAGACACACAGCAAAACAGAAAGAGAAAAAGAGAAAATGGGGGACTGTGATCAGTGGCTGTTGCTTCTGCTGCTTTCACTGCGCTGAGAACAATGTCAGCGACTTGAACTCTAACTGTTGTTTAAAACTGCTGCAAAACTGAACTGCTTTCTTGTCAGTTTTGCTTTGCCAAAACCCTGACACTTTTTTCTGGTTTTATAAGTGTCCTACTGACTGATTAATTTTCTGGTCGGCAGAGAAGTAAACACAAATAAGTGTGTGTTATCAGTGTGGTTGATGGCTCACAGCATCCTCGCATCCATTCACTATCCTCCTCTTGTTATCCCCCTCTTTTCTTTTTCCTTTCCCTTACTACCACTACTACTTGAGAAGAGGCAAAAACTTGTTTTGATGGCGCTGGTCGATGATGGTGATTTGAAGCGGTGCACACAGACACACAAGTGCTACAGGCATTTCCATTGGTGCAGTGAATGGCCGATGCCGATGCCTGCGTCTGTCTGTTTCTGTGTGAGTCAGCCATCCATCCACTTTCGCTTTGGCAGTGAACGCTCACAGTTAGCTGATAACAGCGATGGTCGAAGCGGAGGCAAAGTGTGAGCGATGGAGGAAAACGATGCAGGGAAAGTGCGACCGAAGCCAACGGCAAAGTCAAAGCAAATCAAGGCAAAAGCACTGCTGTCACTGAGTACGACGACGAAGATATCAGCGAGCAACAGATTGATAGGAGAGCACTTCGTGCAAATTAAGGTTTTTAGAACTGCTGCTGCTGATGCTGCTGATGGCAGCCATCACAAGCATTGGAGGTTAACTATCTAAAACTTTTTATTATTTTGACGATGTCGTTGTTGGTGTTGTTGTTCTTTTTGCGGTAGTAGAGGAAAGCGTTTTGAAGATTTTGCGGTTTGTGTTTAGAACACACATTTAGAAGTGTCACAGAAAGGAAAAACATAAAGAAAGAGAGAGAGAGAGAGAGACAGCTATTATTGCCACCAGCTAATGTGAGAGCACCTCAATGAACGTCTCCACATTGTCCTCCGCATTGCCCGCCAGTGTCCACACGTTGGAGTGCTCCTCGAGAATGTGCTTCTTCACGCGACCCTTCTGCTTGCTCTTGTAGTGGACCATGCAGGTGGGCCAGGTGCACCGGTAGATGGGCTTTCCCGGTGGCGGAGAGGCGGCCGGCGGTGGCGGCGGCGGCTGCTGCTGCAGGACCGGAGTGAAGGCAGCAGAGAGGATGCTCGGCGTGACCGACAGCGCCGGACTGAAGGAAAAGGGACTGGGAAAGAGATCNGCAGGACCGGAGTGAAGGCCGCAGAGAGGATGCTCGGCGTGACCGACAGCGCCGGACTGAAGGAAAAGGGACTGGGAAAGAGATCACTACCGCCAATGCCATTGCCATTGTTTTCACTGGCATTGCCAATGCCAATGCTGCTGCTTTCCAGTCCTGGTCCTTCTCCCGGTCCGCCAAAACCGACGTCAATGCCATCAAAGGCGGCAAAGTCAAAGGCGCTGGGGTGGGCGTCCTCGAGGAAGTGGCGCTTCAGCTGCGCCTTCTTCTCGAAAATGCGCCCGCAGCCGGTCTTGAGGCACTTCAACACTGGAGGGGGCGGCGGTGGTGGTCCTCCTCCTCGTTTCTTTGCCTTCCTCCTGCTGGCCGGTTCGCTGTCCTGTGTTCGGTGTTCCCGGTACCGGTGCTTGACCAGGTCCTTGCGCAGCTTCCCCACAAAAGTGCAACCCTCCTCTGCCTGGCAGCGGAAGGTGCCCTTCTGGTGGTTGTTGTACGTGTGCTTTTGCAGTGACTTCCGAAGGAGGAACACTTTGGGGCAGTGCTCGCACTTGAACAGTGGCTTCTCCTCGTCGCTGTAATCAAGAAAAAGGGTTAATTTGGTAAAAATTGTTTAGGTGTTCTGTGCAAACACAGTGCTTACTCTTCAGTCTTGATATTTGCCACAGCTTGAGGTGCTGACAGTGAAGTTGCGGGAGTTGTCAAAGTCGACAAGTTGAGCGTAGGCAGTTGGAGCTGGGTGTTTGAGTTGAAAGCAGCCGAGTTGATGAAATTTTGACCAGGTCCACTTTTATGTGCTATGTTGCTAGTGTTGTTGTTGTTGTTGCCTATCACCGTAAAGAGATCGTCCACAAAGTCATTCAGGTAGGCCTTCATCGAAGTTTTCACCACCTCAAGCCGTCTCGGCGAGGTCGGTGGCATTCTAGTGCTAGTAGTTGTGGTGATAAAAGTTGTAAAAGAGGAAAACAGTTTAGAAATGACTTACTGAAATGAAGAGGAATTCCAGAAGTCGGTTGTTGATGGAAAGAGCTGGGATGAAAGGGAGAACGTGTTTGTAGAAACAATCCGAACGTTGAGTTTGTTTGCTTCAAGAACGCGTGGCACGACACACAATAGCGACACAATTCTGCTCTGCGGTGAGTGATAAGCGACAGCAGCAGCAGCAGCAGCAGCAGCAACTGACTGACTGATCTTCTCCTTGCGATAAGATGACAGCTCAAATTGAGTCATCAGGTTTTTATCAGCGGGAAGGAAAAGTTTTCAAAAAGTAACCGAATTGAATGAATGGCGCCGATTTGAAAGCAAAAAGTAAAAATCAATCTTTTTCGTTAAAATTTTGCTCGACAATGCACTACGTATAACGGTAATAGAAGCAAAACCGCGCTTCAAATTCAAAACAGTTAGCTCCCTGATTGGTGCACCTATAGTGCGCTCTATGAGCAATGGTTTCATTGAAGCTTGCATTGAAGAAGGAGGCAAGTGACCGGGTGTGCAGTGTACAGTGTCCCCGTCCCACTGTTTAGACAATGCTCACCACCAAAAGTGAAATGAAGGAAGCAGGAATACGGCCAGTCCCCCTCCTATTGTCATACTGCTGCCGCCGATGGCAACAGCTTGCTGTCGGCAGAGCAGTGGCTGAATCTGGCGGCTGGCGGCGTCTGTCGAAGTGAAGGAGTTCTCTCTCCCTCTCCTACTGTCTCCCTGCTGATCACTGCTACTGTTTTTCACCAAAAGTCGCAGCAGCAGCTCTCCCTCGCTGCACTTTTCGGTGGGTAGAGTGCCTCTGTTTCTCTTTGCAACTCATCGAGCTGCCAACCAGCGCTAGTGCCAGAAAAAAATCGGGATTATAAAAGCGAGGCACAATTGTTTCCGCCGCCGCCAAGTGAATCTGCCAGCAAAGCACAACAGCCTGATCACCACTTCTCCACTACCATCACCACCTCTCCTCAGTACTTCAACAACATCTTCTCCTTATACTCGCAAAAGAAAGGTGAGAGATTATTTTTCTCGGCGGTGACCAGCTGCTAACCAGTTGTTGTTTCACCGACAATGCCACCATGGTGTCTTCAGCAGCGGTGGTCACCACGATGAGTAGTCGCCCCGAGCCAAAGTGGGAGCTGCAGGCGCAGCTCACCTCGCAGTTGGAGTGCTTCACCATGGCGGACAGCCTAGTGAAGACCTACCTTCTCGGCAGCCCTCACAAGGACCGGCTGATGGCGCACCTGAAGGAGTTGGTCGCCTTGATGTCCGTTTCGCCGCTGCTCAACCGGTGCCACCTCTCGCTGAACTACTACCAGGTGCTCATTGCCCGCCACGAGAAGGACCACGGCAAGGTCAAGGAACTGATCCGCAGCCTCACCTTCAAGCCGGAGACCTGGGAGCACCTGCGCACCGTCTGGTACGATACGCTGCACGAGGAGGAGGACCGCCCGCTGAGCGAAGTCCAGCGCCACCGCCTGCACAAGAAGCAGCCCTGGCCGCCCTCGATCGCCGGCGAGATGAAGGACGTCAAGTACGGGCGCGATGAGAATTCGCGCACCATTCTCAACAGCTTCTACGCGCGAAATCCCAGTCCCAACACCGGGGAGAAGGAGTCGCTCGCCAAGGCGATTCCAGGCTTCACCGTGCGTGATGGTAAGGAATGCATGGTGGTGGTGATGATTGATGACACCAGTCGTTTCACTCTTTTTTCTTTCACTAGTGGCAACCTGGTTCAAGAACCGCCGCCACCGTGACCCTGCCAAGCCAAGTGGAAATGCCATTCAGAAGAAGAAGCTGCCGCAGCCAAAGGCCGGTTGCAGCAAGAATTCAAAAACTGACAAAAAGTCTGATTCGGGTTCGGAGCCCGACGACATGGAAATCGATGAACGATCATTGACTATAATCGACTAAGCACTCCATTAGAGCTCTTTCCCCAAGACTTTTTACTGAAACATAAACGCATTCTTCTTTACTGACAGTTCAAATCACCGATGTTTTTTCTTCTTCAATAAACGGCTTTGCAGCCACCAAAAACCAATCAATCGCCGCTTCCTTTCTTAATTTTTCAAACTGTTGAATGAACTAACCTGTGAACTTTGTTCACACTTCACAGGTGTAGTATTGATCAACTTGAGGCGTGTAAAGAGAGCACACAAGAGCTCTCCATGTGTTTCTCCAGTGTGTTTTGTTTTGTTTAGAGTTTTCAAAGTTATCTCTTGTGATTTGATAGATCAGATCAGAATCAGCATTCATCAATTCCAATCAGTCAAATGGATCCTTACTCGCCCATTTTTGAATCAACACAGCAGAAGCAGCCGCGGTTCAACATTTTAGAGCTGTACAGTGGCATTGGCGGGTTTCATTATGCTCTCAAAGGTAGCATTCTCTTTTCCATCTTAGGTAACAATCATTTAGGCTCATCTTTCCTCTCCGTTTCAGATTTACTGGAAATGATGCAAATTACCGATTACCAGATAACGGCGGCCGATATCAACACAACTGCAAATGCAGTCTATCGGCATAATCATCTGCGAGAAGGGAAACATGTTCTTTTGCAGCGCAACATCAAGTCGTTCACTGCCAAGGAGCTTGACCAAATGAGGCTCAATCTGATCACGATGAGCCCTCCATGTCAGCCGTTTTCAAGGTAAGCTGGTAATTTTTATTCCGGTTTGCTAACTAAACTGTTGTTCATCAGGCTAGGACTGAAACGTGATCTCAACGACCATCGCTGTGATTCTTTCCAACATCTCATGTCGACGCTTCCATTGTACTGTGCTGTTGCTTTTGGAAAACATCGGCTTTCAAACACTAACGACTGATTTCCTATTTTCCAGACTTTCACATCCACCCGAGTTCATCATGCTTGAGAATGTAAAAGGCTTTGACACCTCTGAGGCACACGAGCTTCTAATTGAGACGCTGATCAAGTGCAATTACCAGTTTGCTGAATTCCTCCTGTCACCGACTCAGTTTTCCATTCCAAATTCACGCCAGCGGTACTACTTGATTGCCCGAAAAGCTAAACAGACAGGTGATCATTTGAGCAAAGCTGAATACGTCGCAAACATTCACAGCCAAGTGCCGCTTGTTGCATCAGACCAATCCATCTTCGCTAACGATGCCAAAGTCAGCTTTGTCGATCACATTTCTCTTTGCTCAAAAAGCAGCCCCACAGTTAAGCCGGGTAACTTCTGCTCTACCATTGAACCGTATCTCGATTCTACCGTAGAGCCGGCTGAGTTTGAGCCTACCAGTGACACCCTACTTCGGTACCATGCGCTCTTCGACCTGGTCACTCGGCACTCGACCAGCACCAACTGCTTCACCAAGTCTTATGCTCATCGTATTGAAGGGTGCGGCTCGATACTGATGACCGCTTCAAACTTGTCAATGGACGGTGTTTATGCAGAGATTGCACAGCTGAAAAGCCAACAACAAACCGATGATGCAGATGATGAAACCAGCGGAAAAATAGTGCAACTGCTGCGGTCACTTGGGCTGCGATTCTTCACTCCACGAGAGGTGGCCAACCTAATGTCATTTCCGCCGAACTTTGGTAGATATTGCTCTAGATATCGCTTGACTCATTCAGCACTTTCGTTTTTACTAAAAAGTTTTACCTTTTTTTGTTACAGAGTTTCCGCCCGACCTCAATCTGAAGCAGCAGTATCGTGTGTTGGGAAACTCAGTCAACGTGCTGGTGTGTCAGTACTTGCTGAGGATTTTGCTTGGCCTTAGGCCTGGAGTTGCATTGTAGTAAACATAAGCACACAAACACACATCTTTCCATGACATCAGCGGGGGCTAAACCACTTTCGGATGCACTCTTTGTCTCTTCTTGACAGAGCTGCACAAATTGAAATATGTCAAATTGATATTTTTTGTCACTGTTCTTGAAAGCGGTAGTGATGGCAGCAGCAGCAACAGCTCTTTTTGCGCGGATTAACCGATCACTGATCTGCGGCTCTCATCTGCTAACACTTCATCAAAATGTCACTGCGCCCCAAATTGTCAAATTACTGTACCGAGAGTGACTCAAGCTGTCTTTCACCATCATCATCAACGGTTGAGGACATGGACCAATTTGGCATTGCTACTACAGGACACGGGTGATAATTGCCACTACCATCGATGACAGAGAGAGGGCTGTAAACACCGAAAGAGAGAGAGAGAGAGAGAGAGAAAGACATTCTGTGGCTTGTGGCAATCAATGGTCGAGAAGATCATAAAGTGTGTGCTGCAAGTCAATTGCTGCTGCTTCTGCCTCTGAGCATCATCATTTCCTAGTTCTACTTTTCCCCTTCTCCTCCTCCTCATCGATGAAGGCCACCACACTCTGTACACTACTGTTTCATCCTGGCTCACTGATCACCAGCACATCGCCATCATCAAATCGTATCGAACCGACCCTTGATGGTTGCACCACCACCACCACCAACCAGCAGCAGCAGGAACAGGAGCACAACAGTCGTCATGTGCGCGCCTGACGTCAAGAAGAGGCAGTTGCACACATGTGCTACCCGAGTGCCACATTCTCTGCTGAGAGAATTTGGTAAAGAGAGAAAGAGAAAGAGCNTCGTCATGTGCGCGCCTGACGTCAAGAAGAGGCAGTTGCACACATGTGCTGCCCGAGTGCCACATTCTCTGCTGAGAGAATTTGGTAAAGAGAAGGAAAGAGAGAGAGAATGAGCCATGCGCCTTNAGCAGTCAGTCAGTCTGTGTCTCGCTACCGACGGATGCTGATCAATATGCCCCATCGCCGATGCAGAGAATATTCCCCCGCTTAAACGAATCGTCGGATATAATTTAAACTGTTTTTGCCGCCGCTGATGAGCCGCCGGTGAAACTGTTTGTTGCATTTTGCTTTTGACCAGCCAAAATTTCTTTCAATTTTTTTTGTTCCGCAACCTAATCAGCAGTGACCAGCGACCACATTTTAAATCTTGAGGAGAAGAACAAACTCAATTTGGGCCAGCTAATTTTGANGCGGCGGCGGTTGTGGCTGCTGACAGCAGTCAGTCAGTCTGTGTCTCGCTACCGACGGATGCTGATCAATTTGCCCCATCGCCGATGCAGAGAATATTCCCGTTCACGAATCGTCAGATATAATTTAAACGGTTTTTGCCGCCGCTGATGAGCCGGTGAAACTGTTTGCTGCGTTTCGCTTTTGACCAGACAAAATCTCTTCTGTTTTTTTTTGTCCCGCAACCTAATCAGCAGTGACCAGCGACCACATTTTAAATCTTGAGGAGAAGAACAAACTCAATTTGGGCCAGCTAATTTTGAAGGTCGTCATCAGCTTGATCATCCACCCTATTGAGCATCGGCCCCTCTTGTTAGTTAACACTACCCGAATGCAAACAAATAAATCTCGCCCGCCGCAGCCCTTAATTAATAATGCCCTGGCCGTGGAGTTCTCGCACTCGTACACTGCCAGTTGGCTGCCAAACACTTGCCAATACTGCTGTTACTAATACGAAAAGTGTGTAATATTGATCGGGAATTGAAACGTGCTCGCAAATCAATTTCCATCTCTCTCTTTCTCTCGTTCTGTGTCTGTGTGCCAAATGTTCCCTCGAGTGCTGTGCCTGTCTGTGTGTGCCATTCATCGTGATCGTCGCTAGCCATTTTGCCTGGTTCCCCAGTGCATGTTTACTCTGATTCGGTCTATTCCACAACCACCATCGCCACAATGTCAGAAGTCACTCGTTCTTCAGAAGTGAACTGAAGCCTTAGCAGTGCCAGCCCAGTCTTGATGGGAATCGCGACCAAACGTTTAAAATGGCAATCAAATGGCAAAATTGTTCACAGCAGCAATCGCGTTTCAATTTTGATTTTTCTTCCCAATTCCGCTGAAGTTGGTGATGGTCGTGGTCGTGATTTTATTTTTACGCTGCTTTTCCAGCGCAAGTTCTCTCGTTTCAGCAACGGATGTGATTCCTTTCAGCAGCACCACTTTCTTGTGATACCATTTTATTCTATCTTTCTTTCTCAGCAGCTTAAACTTATGATCATCTTTTCAAATCATCTTTTGCCAACCTCGATACTTCAAAGATTGTTTTCCTTTTCTCCACAAATCTGTCTGAACGTTAGAAAATGCAATGTTCCACCAGTGTGATTACCGCCAACACCACCGCCACCACCACCTACACCACCAGACAGAATTAGCGTCGGTGGAGCATCTAATTCAAGGGTGGCATCGAACGAAAAGTAATCGCTGCTTGCTGCAATGGCCACAAAGGCGAAGGCCGGAAAAGAGGCCAATGTCAAGGCGGAAAGAGGGAGGAGGAGGAGGGGAAAGGAGAGTAGGCGCCAAATATCCAGGGTTCTTCCACATATCATCCGCTTCCCGAACATTCGTTCTACTTCTCTTCATTATCATCACCACCATCTTTTCACCTGCATCCTCATCATCTGCCGACTCTGTTCAGCACAACAATCAGCACACCAGCAATGGCCACTACCGGTACCACTACCTGCCCACCATACGTCGGCCACCGACCACAACAACGACGACCTCGACCAGCAAAAGCATAAACTACCAACATCATCAGGGGAATCAGTTTGCTCAAATCACCGGTGGTCCCGCTTCTTCAAGGTCCCATCAGTCCAACAGTGCTTCCGGTCAACTGCATCACCACCATCACCTTCCGTCTTCGTACATCTCGACGGCCTCTCCCTCGACGATGTTACCGCACTCTGAGCCCTCCTCCTCGTACCATCAGATGGCCAACTACAGCGGCGACATCATGATCGGCGCCGTCTTTCCGATCCACGACCGCGACCAGAACTACAGCTGCGGTCAGCTGCAGATGGAGAGTCTCCAGCAGATGGAGTCGCTCGTGTACAGCCTCAAACGCATCAACGATGATCCTTCGGTAAGTTGCAATGGAATGGGAGGATGATGAAGTAGTACAACAAACAACAACAAACATTCAAATTCAGAGTGAGCTGATGTGTGCCAAATTTTTTAGCTGCAGAGTAATCCGATCGTTTGCATGCATCCTTCATTTTTGCTTGCTTTCTTTGGATTGACTCAATTGGACCGTGTTATGTTATTGGGGGAGGGCACAACAACCCTCGTTGAATGTGAATATGTCTCTCTGCATTAGCATCATCATCATCAGCAGAATTATCAGACATTATCGGCCCCAGACATTATTGCCGCCTAATCGGATCAATAGCTTTCATTTCACTTGTCCGTTACTTTATTATGATTCTCCCTAAACCCTCTGCCGTTTTCTTTTCACTTCAGCGCAAACGAACTTGGTGCTGGAAGGAGAAAGCAAAATATAAACAGATTAAGTTGTGCATGTGAACTTATGTTGCCAATGATGCTTTTCGCCTGTCAAATGGTCAGCAGTCAAGCGACAGAAAGACTCTGCTGAGAGAGAGAGAGAGTGAGGGAGGGAAAAAGTGGATTCGTCGTCTGGGCCTGGAGTTTGCACGTTTCGACAACACAGTGCGTGCCCCGTCGTTGAATGACCTGCTTTCCCTACCAGGAACCGTTTCGCAAAGTTGTTTTGATTTTCTGCTTTTTCTTTCTTTTTGTCTTTCCATCAAAAGTTGTTTTGACATGTCGCTACGGAGCTGCTAATGCAGCTACCACTGCTACTACTTTCACTTTTATTCGTGCTAATTCTTTTTTTCCCATTTTCAATTTTTTGCAGATTCTTCCCGGCATCAAACTGGGCGTCCTGGTGATCGACTCTTGCGACAGTCCACATCACGCTCTCGAGCAGACTATTGATTTTATTAAGGTAAGAGGGAGAAGGAAGAATATTGCAGCATGAATTTCGAAAGCACTTTTCAAGATATTCAATTGAAAATCAATGCATTTTAAGATGATTGCTTTTTGCTTTTCGGCAATCATCACAATTCAGTCATATTGCTTTTGCTGCTGCCTAATGGCAATTTAGAGCAGAATTAAGGCCGTTAGTGCGCTAATGACTGCTACTTAGGAACCAAATCAGCCTATTCTATTCTCTCTGAGTTTTCACTTTTTATTCTCTTAATTGCCACTGCTGATTGCCGCCAAATTGAGTTTTTCTTTTCCATTTTTTATATTTGACTCACTTTATATTGCCGAGTTATAAAGTTTTATCTTCTTCTTTTTCCGCCTTTTTAATTTCTGCCATCTCTTCCTCGCCCACACACATACCATTTGCAGAGTTTCGTCGCCCGCACCAACCGCCGCCTGAGTGAGCCGNATTTTTTATATTTGACTCACTTTATATTGCCGAGTTATAAAGTTTTATCTTCTTCTTCCACCTTTTTAATTTCTGCCATTTTTTCCTCGCCCACACACATACCATTTGCAGAGTTTCGTGGCCCGCACCAACCGCCGCCTGAGTGAGCCCGAGTTCACCTGCACCGACGGCAGCCCGCCGACGTACAAGTACGGCCAGTTTGACCGCATCCTCGGTCTGATTGGCGGCCAATCGAGCGAGGTCTCCCTGCAGCTGGCCAATCTGCTGCGCCTCTTCAAGGTGCCCCAGGTCAGCTACATGTCCACCAGTCCGACGCTGTCCGACAAGCGCCTCTACGAGTACTTCTTCCGCACCGTGCCCTCCGACACCAACCAGGTGGACGCCATTGTCGAGATTTTAAAGTAAGTGTACCAATTTGTGTGTTTTGTTTTGCTGTCCTTTAGGTGAACCGGAAGTGCTCTACTGTTTGACAAACGGCACTGCTGCCCTCTTTTCGCACCCATGTCTTTTCTCATTCTTCATTCTCTCTATTATTTGCTTCTTTATT